AGAGAGAGAGAGAGAGAGAGAGAGAGAGAGAGAGAGAGAGAGAGAGACGCTGTGTGAGACTCATTCTGTGAAGGAGAGATATCCCCACTCAGAATCTTTCTTGATCTTGCTCCCCACATTAGATTCTGGCTCTCTTGCACTGAGATGATCCACAGCCTATGAACACAAATCTTTACTCAGAAGGCTGAGGACACAACATGCTGTCTCTTTTTTCATTATTTTGACAACACCTGACAGGAAGCAACTTAAGGAAGGAATTATGTTGTTGGTTAGTTTCATGGTGGGAGATATATGGAATCTGGGGCTCTGTTATTTGTGGCAGGAGCTTGTTATATCCCTAAAAATCAGGAATTGGCATGTCTGAGGTGGGGAGCTGAGCATGGCTATAAGCCTCATGACTGGCCACTAAAGACCTTGTTCTGACACCATGGTCTCACACTTTTTGTTTGCACAAGGCACCACTGTCTGGGGACCCAGTGTTTAAGCATTTACACCTGTAGGAGATATTTCAGTTTCATACCATAACAGCAATGGATGAGGGAGCATTCATTCTGAAAGTCCTGCTCACACATTCTCAGCCTGGCCCTCTTCTCTCCATATTTAGCAGGACCCTTCTCTGTGCCAGACTGAATCTCTTTCCTCACTTCCCCAGGTCTAATCTGCAATCCTTTGTGGTTCCTTAAAACTCCACCTAACTTTGATTTTTAGGTGATAGGTCTTGCTTGTTGAAATCCCAATTTTTTCCTCCCCAATCTTAGTTTGCTGAGAAGTCTTGGAATCTGCTCTACAGGTTTTCCAAGCCTGGCATCAGACCCCAACTAGTAGCAAATACCTAGCAGATGCTCACCTTTGGATTGATTTCCAGCTTCTCAGAACCAGAGATGATATAGCGGGAGCCAATGTAAAGATTGTCTACTGGGGGTGGTTTATTTATTCTCACAAACTGAAACTTCATCTCTTCATCATCAATAGCCTAGGAAACATTACAATGATTTATCTAGATTTCTGGGCCACATCTGGTCTAAATGAGGCAAGATGGTTGATTAGTACATTCGTGTGGAATAGGGTGATGACACCTCCTGGGCATCCTTCTAACTTGTATTCTCCCACACAGGTGGTGGCATTATTGGCCCCAGTCAAATTCATTTGAGAATGGAGTCTCGGCCAGGGAAGAGGGAGTTTGCTACATGTTAGTAGTGGAGCATTCCTATCCTCTGTTTGGGGGAACAGGCTATAGAAGCCTGTGTAGAGATTGTCAAAAAGGCACTAATGCAGTTGCAAGGGACTCAGGTGTGAGTGGCCTAGAAGAATGAAGACTCTTACATACTAGGGTTTCCCTCACAGAACTACATTCACTTTCCCAGTTAAGAATCTCTTCAAGGGGCTCAATAGCTGTATCTCAGGTTTTCTGTCAACCCAACCTGGCCTCACTCTTGGGGTTCTGAATTTTACCTTCTGAATGGTGCAGTCATTGGGGATTAGGTAGAGGTGAAGGGTGACTTCTTCTAGATTGAAGTGATAGTAGATCAGTGTGATGGAAGTGATGGGGATAAAGCGCCGGGCAACAGGGATTATTCTCAGTACAACTCCCATTGGGGAGAAGCTTGGGTTTTTCAGTATGGTGTAGCGATGCTTCACCCTATCTGGCGTTTCTAAAACCATCCCATGTTCTTGAAAGTGGGCCACCTTGAAGTCAAATGAGCTTGCCTTTGTGTCTGTGAAAGAACAGATTCAAAGATGTAGATTTAGTGTTTCCATCAAGCCAACAATGACTGTGTTAGTTTGAATGAGCATTGTTCATATAATAGTGGAACTGTTTGGAAAGAGGTAGGAGGTGTGCCTTTGTTGAAGGAGGTGTTTCACTGGGACAGGCTTTGGGATTTTAAAAGGTCTTTGTTTCTAGTTACATTCCTCTTTCTTCTCCTTGACAATTAGGATGTAAGCTCTCAGCTACTGTTCCAGTGCCATGCCTCTGTCCTTGCTGTCATGCTACTTGTCATAATGGTCGTGATCTCTAACCCCATGAAATTATAATTCTCCCAAATCCTCCTTCTATAAATTGCCCAGGTCAAGATGTCTTTTTAGATTTTTTTTTGATGTTGATGACTTAAACTGTGACCATAAACTTTTTAAGCTTTATTAATTAATTCCCATTGAGTACAGAGCAGACAAACAACCAGTTCATCACTATCAATTTATCATGCCAGGGAGGGTGAGTGTGACTTGATGTCAGTGGTGACACATGTACATTGACTCTCATTGGAAGCAGCCTTGGCTTTTCCCTTGTATAGCAGCTGGGAGAGTATCCACAGTGGAATGGTGGTTCTTGATGGTCTCATCCATGGATGCTCTCAATAGTACAGCCTCAGACACTACTGCCAGAAATTTGACAACCAGTTGTTTTTCTGAGATGCTGCCACCTCCAGCCTTAGCATCTAGGGATTTGGCAGTACCCACTAAAGTCTTTGTTGCAGGGTGAAGTTTGCTGTTATAAGAGAGACCCAAGTGTATGTTTGTCCATTGAGGTCAAAGCTGGATGGATTCCTGGAATCGTTAATGTCAGAGGTCAACTTAATTAAATTGTTTCATCATTTTGGATATAGGCCTCAGAGCATATAGAAGGAAATTATGTTGATTAAGTTAATTGATTTATGAAGACCTAGTCATATGGGTGGCATCATTTCATGTAGTAGGATCCAGAAGGTCACATGAGCAGAAGCATTCACTGTTGTCTTTTGATGACCAGGTCCCATACTTCCATGTTCTCAGACTTCCATGATGAACTTACTGTACCTGAGCAGTATGAGGCAAAATAAACCCTTTCTCTCTTGAGTTTTCATGGTCATGTATTTTCTTGAGTTACAATCAAAGTAACTTGGACAGAGAATTGATACCTGGCATTGGGTTGTTTTTGTAGTAGACTTGATCATGTGGTTCTTAGTACATTGTAACTCTTTGGTGACTGGAATGTGAAGGAATTTGTTACATAGGACTAGAAATCCCCTACCATGTTGAGAGCAGAGATTATGGGGGACATTGTGATGGAAGCAGAGAAGACAAGGATTCTGATATAGACAGTGGAGTCCAGTTCATGACAGTTTTAAGAGTAGCAAGGTTTCCAATGAAAACTGAAGAAGGATCCACTTGTGCAACAGTTTGGCCAATAATCTAGCTTCAGTGTGCAAATGCCTTGAATGTGTGTGAAGTTGAATTTAAAAATAAAGGATTAATGCTACAAATAAATTTGTAAACAAGAAACATTCAGCCTGATTTGGAAAATATCAGCTGTAATTGTTAAAGAGATCAGCATCAATGAACGGAAAGCTGCACTGTAGCAATAGGAAAGAAGTCCTGAGGACAGAATCTCACTCTTCCTGAGCTTCATCTTTTGAGGAACCAAATCCATTTAGAGCCAGAAAGCCTTAACTGATGATCTTCCCTGTTCTACAAATGCAAATACTCAAGGAAGTGTTTCCCATGGTCAGCACATCATACAGACATTGTCCAGGGGAAGAGGAGCAGGCTGCATGTCAACCTGTCAACTGAAATTGCCAGTGTCATACCTATGGATTCTTTTGGGGGGAGGGGGGTGTCAGGAATGATGCTAGATTGAGGGGGTCATTGAGTCAAGTTGCACAGCTTCAGATAGCAGCTGAGGCCAGGCAATGTGTCTGAGTCAAAGACCCGGTAGGCAGGTCCTGACAGGTCATTCTATGAACCTTTGAAAGGGAAGCCTAAGACTAAATGAAAATCCTAGGATGTGGAGAAGTCAAAACCACAATTGTTTTCTGCTGAATAAAGTTGTAGGAAAGGAGCAGAGAGATGATATAAGAGAGAGGCTATGTATGCTTCATGTGCAGGACTGGATAGGTGGAGGTATCCCAGTCCTTTGCTGTCTAGTCAATGACACCATGAGCTCTATAGCTGGACTCTAAACTGTAGAAGCTGATGCTTAAACTGAAGGAGTCTGTCTTGTTGTGGTTTGAACATCTTTTGCTATGCTGCGATTCTTCAATGTTAGGACATCAGTGTTTATTCTGTGTTGTTGTATGTTGGAAGTATGTAACTTGTATTTTATTTACTAGGAGCTTATAGTTGAGAGATTGCATTAAGTCTCTGCTGAAAGATAGTTTTTAAACTATGGTAATTATTAAGGTGTAATGGGACCTTTGAAACAAGATTATACTTTTCATGAGGAAACAAAACTTTAGAGACAAGAAGTGGAAAGTTAAGATGTAAAGTGATGTGCTTGGGTGTCAAGTTGACAATGGGTAGAACTGTGACGATGAATGTCACATGTCAGCTTGAGACCCCTACACAACTCTGCAATCCATAGTTTGCCTGTCTTTTCTCCTGAGTTTGGTTCCAACTTGTATCAGGACAAACAGAATTGCAATGCATGTTGTTTAGTAGAGAAAAATATTTTCTTTCAGGTGTTTGCTTTTGAATGGATAATCACCAAGAAATGAGACAATGAAATTTCTCCTGCATGATATGATGAACTTGGAATTTACCTCAACAACATGCTAGCCAATAATTTCAGGTGGAACTGCATGACACAAAATTGTCCCCTGTGTGACAGTTTGGGGACTTGATAGCCTGTCTTGACCCAAGGTAGTCTCAGACCTTGCACCCAATCCTCAAATTAGACCTTCTTTTTGATGTGCCAATTTAGATAGAATCCCAGAAGGTGCTGTACATTTCCAAGTTCCCTGCTTGCTAGCATAAACACTATCCATGCTTTTCCTAGGACTTGAGGGGAGTATGGAGTGCTGGACTTTTATTGTTAAGACCAGAAATTTCCTTAGGCATGTAAGTTGACAGTGCTGGGATCACTTGCTGCAGTAATGGCTTTCTTTATGAGATTGTTCACTCAGACCCTGTATTTATCAGACCATCTTCTGAAGGAATCTTTGAAAATTACTGAGGGTGGGGCACTTTATGAGCCCCCTCCATTATTAGGTCAACCTTTTCCTCATCACCTATGGTCCTATAGTCTGCTGTAGGACCTGTCAAACCCACCCTCTTCCTTAAGCTTCCCTTGGTTACCTTGGAGGGACACAAAATGAGGGAGGTACACTGCAGTCACAGCTTCTTGCTCAGCCTTAATGTCAAATAGAGGTCCAACCACCATGTGACTGTGTTTCAGGGTAGCCTTGTCCAGGTATTGGCTCCAGGCACAGAATTCAATCTCGATTGTCACTGCCCTTGTCACCACAAAGTGGAGTCCTGTGCTGGGACAGTGGTAGAAACCAGCCATGGGCAATTGAACTCTGGAAGAGTGAGAGGTAGACACCAGTTCAAACCAGTACTACTCATCTGATGTGTGCAGACCCAGTACAGATCTTGGGACACATCAGGCTTCAGGTAGCTAGCTCTGAGTTTCGTTCTTCTGCTGTCTATGTAGATCTCTGATTAGTCATTTATCCTCCTAATCTGTTTCCTCCTCTGTACACAGGGCTAATGATGACATCATCTCAGAGAACCGTGAGTACTGAGTGATCTAATGCAAACCTCCATGTAACACATGTAGGGAGCAGTCAGCTCTTCCTTTGATGGTGATGAGGGTGAGGGTGATGAAATGTGTGTGTGTGTGTGTGTGTGTGTGTGTGTGTGTTAAGTTTGGGGAATATAACTAGTACCTTGTGCACACTAGACTAAGACTCAACTAGTGAGGCACATCATCAATTTTTTTGGAATTTATATTCTTCAGAAGTATATTTCTCAATATTGAAAGTCTACCTGCTGATATGAGTGATTGACTCTTGTCCTTGACACAATGCTTTACTAAGATTTTCATTGATTTTCCAAGGTGACTGGTAGGTGGACAAGAGGAAATTCAAAGTAACAGCTTCTCCAGCTGAGACAGTGACTGTGACAGTGTTGGAAGAGGGTAACAAGTTGTGGAAGACACCATAGTTGTGTATTCAATTAATCATTATTTGTAGGACTTGAATTCATGGAGGACAGAATGCTGTACAAATTGTCATGTTCTCAGATTCAGGGCATTCTTGGCACACAATGTTTGTTAATGGAGCAGGAATGCATAGAGTACAGAGACTTAAGGTGAATCTAAAGCAGGAGAACCATAATGTAATGAAAGGAGGGATGCTATATACACCAGGAATAAAGTATTCACCAGAAAGTCAACATTTCAGATAATGAGCAAAGCTGAGCACAGACTTTTAGATGAAATGACAGACTCAGGTCAGCACAGTTGTTGTGGTAAGAGTATGTCAGTTGTGGAAGATAAAGTCCTATCTTAATCATGGAGGGTATATAGTGAAATTATTACGGGTGAAATCATATGATGTCTTGATCATATAATAGTGTGACAGTGTTGACAAAGAAAGATTGAGAATAGTTAAAACAAATTGCAAAATTGCTGATGAATCTGAACAGTTAGTCAGGGAAGTTTTGTGCTCTCCAGGTTTATAAATGTTTGAAAAATTTTAAGAAAAAGACCTCTATTTTTATAACAGGCCAAACTTCCCATTCTACTCAAGGCCTAGCTTCCTTCAATGGCAAGAAAAAGAGAAGACACTGTAGAGATAAGTAGATGCTATCTGTGGGGATCCCTTATGGAAAGCCAGCCTTTACCAGGAAAAGCTCACTCACCGGTACAGGTTCCTTTCTCTGTCAACCACCTCAGTAGCTACAGGTCCTGTAGGTCCCCAGAAGTCATCTTCAGTTCCCTGAAGTTGTATTTGCTTGTCTCCTGGAGAGGTAGGAAAAGACAGATATAAGCTTCTTAGTAGTACAATTTATAAATACCTCTCCAGTAAAGTAGGTCAGGCAGTGGTCACTTTGTGTTTTCCATGCACGTGCCCCCTTCCTTCTCCAGAAATGTACCATGGCTGAACCCTCTTCTGGTATAGTCAACCTTGACCATAGCAGGAAGTTCATTTGCAGTTTGTATCATGCTCCTTCAGCTACCTCCTTGCTTTACACACACACACACACACACACACACACACACACACACACAAACACACACACACACACACACACACCAGAAACATGGGAATAGAAATGTGTGTGTGTGTATGTGTTACAGAGAACTTAGTGTGTGTGTGTGTGTGTGTGTGTGTGTTGAGAAAACAACATAATACCAAAGATGGATGAGCAGGGATAGGGAGGTGAGTCCTAGGTTGTATCAAAATGAGAAAGGTAGCACTGTTTCAGAACCTGATATAAGCCATAGAGTTGAGGAAGGGACAGCAGCTGCATCCTTGACCTGGAGAGAAGGAAGCAGTATTCTACCATTGTTCTAGTAGTGGAAGTTCTTGCAAGGGGTGGGGCTATTTTCATGGCTTGTACTCTCTCATATGTCAGTGAAAGGAACGCAGAAATGATAAACACATCAAAGACATTTATTGCTGATAGTGTATTCTGTATGTGACATGGAACCTATGAAATCTCACCAATATCACCATCTCAATGAGATCCAGCCAATGAAAACCCTTGTTGACATACTAAGTGTAGATGAGGGAACTCTTATAATGCCCTGTGCCTAAGTGAAGAGCTATAAGCAGGTAACATCTGGTAGGAGAGAGACAATATCAGTCTTCCCCACTCAAGTGCTGCCTAATAGATTATCCAACATGTATGTGTATACATATACAACAGAAAATGAACCCATTAGGTTGTATTTATATGTATACTGTATATATACATATGTATATATACATGGAAACATACACATATGTATATAACAACAGTAATACATCAGGAATCAGTAAACATCAGGAATTTGAGAGTTTGTAGATGGAACACAGGAGGATTTGGAGTGACTAGATGGAGGGGCAGAAACAATGTCAGTATAGTACTTGTGTATGAAATAAAACAAACTCAAACAATAAAGAGAAATGATGACTTTGTCCTACAGATCGTCTTGCACCCAGTGCTTACAGGCTGTGGGTCTGATCCTTCACATACCTGACCGTTGTCTCTGCTGGTCGAATGAGGTAAGGCTATCGTCTTCATCCATGTTCTCAGTGGGGACCATCATGTGTGGCATCCTACACAGACATATTCTTTTCCTCAAATTTCAAGAAAAGCTAGAGCTTTGCACATGGTATCCCCACACAAAATCTAATTCATCTGAAATTGGACTTTGTTCCAGGCTTCTTCTCTGAGTCACAAGTGTATGAAGACCACCATTCTCCTGTGCATCCATGGTGCCAGAAGCAGCATAATCTCAACCCCTCCTTTGTTTTATATCAATGTGTTCCCCAACAGTGACACACAGAGTGTGTTTTGTTCTCTAAGTGTTTTTCTATGTCTTTCTTTACTGTGGTTTCTGTTTTAATTGTTCTAGTGGTCTGGTTTTACCAGTAGCTACTGTCATATACTTGCTGTTCCCAGAGGACTCTCCACTAATTCACCCTTTTATATTTTTCTGTTGGAAGAGCTTAAGTAGGCATGCTGTATGATTCTATTGTTGCTAAAAAAAAAAATACAACCTCTATACATACAGAACCTTTCCTTACTTCAATTGCTGTGGTTTTCTGGTTTCTTCCAGGCTGAGTCTTTCCCACCTCAGAATCCTTTCTCCACCTCTCAGCTTCCACCTCTCAGCTTCAAACCATCACATAGGGCCATGGCTGATCAGATGGAATTCTTTGTCTCCCTGCCCCTCTTACCATGTGCTAGAGATAAGCAGCTTCTGATTCCTTGCCTCCAGGGTCCTGAGCTCTGTATTCACCTGGTCACTGAGAGAGGCCTGGTCCAGCCTACAAGCACAAGAGTTAGCTGTTTCTTCTGGGATACACAAAGGATCTTGAAAAGTGAGAGTCCTGGATCCTAGACTCTTGTCTGTAAATGGAGCCAGTAAGGAGACTCATTCAGTCTTTGATCAAAAATCAGGATATATGAGAGAGCAGCAGCAGGCTGAGAAGGAGATGTGTCCATGAGGCAGTGGAACTTGGTTAGTTTTCAGTGAGATCTGACTACAAGAAGAGGATCTTTGAAACAATCCAGAGTTGAAATGAAGGGCTGTACTTTTATACCTCAACTCCACAGGTTAGTCACTGGAAATAGATTGTACTAGGGAGGGGAACATGGCCATAGATAAGAGGACTCTTGTTGGCAAAGGGCACTTCTATAGCTATCAGCATTCTTAAATGCTTATAGTCATATCCATATCCCCAGAAGGATTCTGGGAAGCTCCTCAAGGTGAACATGTAGGGATAGGATGCAAGGCTTCCTAGACATTCACCTTAAGGAAAGAACCTTGGTTCCATTTTTATCTCCCCATCCATTCTTTTAGTGCTAAGGAAGGAAACCTTTCCTTACACAGAAGCCACTACCAAGGTCCTCTGTTCCACTCTTATGACTCTCAGGTTCCAGGGTTGTGGATGGTGTTAGAGTAGTGCCTGACTTCTCTGGGTTTCAGAGTCCTCAGTTGAAGGCACAGACAAGGCAGGAGGGGGATAGACTCCTCCTCTGAGAAGCTGTGCAATGACACCATCCTTGTTCATGAGATGCTTGCTCTGTGATGGACCCCTTGAGGTCAGAAAAGGAGATGGATAAGAACTCACATGTAACTGAGTTGTCTGGAAGGTAGACTTGAAGTGGAGGCCAGACCTGGTCCAGTTCTCCAGAGTGTGAGGAACAGTCATGGGTGAAAATGTGCCAAGGATTTGGGCCTGTTTTAGCTACCAGAGAGGAGGAAATAAATTTGGCTTCACTGCCCAACTGTCCCTTTAGGTTTGACAGGTGCAGCAGAAGGAGGCCAGACAGAGGGAAATCCCATGGCACAGGCTTGCCTGATTTTTTCTATTGTCTGGAAAAACCAGAAGGATCTGAGTACAGGGGTACAGAATCAATGTGGTTCTCTGAGCTCATGAAGAGTACTGGCCAGCAATCTCTGGGAAGGTTGTTTTTTTTTTTTCTGGAAACTGCTATGGACTTGTGCTGGAGATGTGGAGGGACAGGAGAGGGACAGTTTAGAGACAGCAGGAAGGGCTGTGTGGGGAAGGACAAATGTTTGGAGGTCTTCTTAGTTTGCATGGAACTCTTGGCCAGGAGGAATGATACAGGTCACGTTACAGTCATCTGTCTCAGGCTTCTATAGTCAACCCCTGTGACCCTCTGTAGTTCCAGCCCCTTATCTATTCCAGAGCCTTTTCCAACTCCTCCTTTACCTGGGTTGCTGGCTTCATGTTCACTGAACCATTTCTTCTTAGGCATCAGAGAGTCCTCTTGGGACATTCAGTAAAATTATACCTTTCACAGAATTATACACTCAGTAGTGTTGACCGAAAAACATTCTGCAGTTTGTCAATACAGAGTCAGAGGTTGATGGGTTATCAATGTTTGTCTCTTTCCACATAACCCAGACAACAAAGCCATATATATGTGTTTGTGTTTGTTTTCCTAGGACCTGCACCAATGCTTGACACACAGAGAACCTGATATGAAAGCATACATACATGAATTAATGAATAAATAAATGATTGAGGCACTCTCTTGGAGTAAAGCAAACCTGAGGTCTGTGTGTGTGGGAGGGGTGGGTGTATGCTAATGTGTGTGATTCAACCATACCCAGGTACTTATGTAATATTATCTTTGTTTTTACATAGGTATACTGTATGCTGTTTCATATTCAGTATGTGATATACATTCCATGTCCATGAGATTGGCATCACATTTCATTTAATCGATAAGGAAACTGAGTTTTCCAGAAGACAGTGTCTTGTCCAATCACAGGATGTAAGTGGCACCTATGTCCCTTTATGTCTAGAAAGGAATTGCAGAGCTTGCTTACCGCAGGATGCTGAGGTTGCAGGCAGGATTCCTGAGCCCCTCACACAGCAGCCTCACACCATCATCACCCAGGTCATTCAGCTGCAGGTCTAGCTCAGTCAGGCTGGAGCGAACACTGAGCACTTTGGCCAGGAGTGAGCAGTGTGTGGATGTGAGGTCACATTCGACAAGCCTGCATGGAAGATGTTCACGTCAGTTCTCAAGGGCTCATTGTTTTTGAAAACGTATCACAGGTCTCCCTTTTTGAGCCTTGGCATAGTGAACTGACAGAGATTAGCTCAGTAGAGAATTTCAAGCTCTCTCCACCTGAGCTTCAGGAGCAGTGGATATAGGTCAGGACCAATACTTGGCTACTATTGACCATGGCAGAGCTCCGTAGGCCCAATAGCTCACTGGTACATTTCAAGAGTCATATGATATGAAATTCACCAGACCTCGAATAGGGCATGATCTCATTCATTAAGTGAAATCTTATTCAAGATAAAGTTCATAGAAACTAAGTAGAAGTCTGATTACAAGGGCAGAGTGCAGAATGAAAGGGGGAGATGCCATTCCTCAGACCTGGAGCTTTCTTCCCTCAGGCTTCTGTATTCTTCACTTTTGCTTTAGCCATGACCTCAGGAAGTGTGCTCCACTGAAGCCCTCATGAGCCCAGTGTTATCATTAGCTAGTGGGATTTCTGGACGAATGCAGTCTCTCATAATCCCTAAGAACAGAATCCCATTTGTTTATCTTAACAAATCTGGCATGTGTCATAGGTGTGTTAAAGGGAGTTCAGTGAATACTTGATAAATGCCAAGCCTCACCCTAGACATCTTTTGCCTTTAGTCTCCTCTCATCCACCCCTGCGTCAGGGAAGAACCCAATCCAGACTGACCATAAGGTCTTTAATTGGCAGCCAGGCTGTCTCAGTGCCTTACAAAGACTGCGTACTGCAGAGTAGCTCAATGGATTTCCACTTAGGTCCAGTTCCTCTAGGTTTCTGGTGAATTTAAGATTGGAGAAGAAAATCTTCCAACTGGCATCAGTAATTGGGGTCCACCTGCACCTGAGGGGAGAGATAGCAGAGGGGCATGACTTGTGTGTGTGCGTGGTCTGTGCACAGCCCCATGTAGCAGATTAGGTTTCTATCTGCCTGTGCAATAGGAACAGGTATGCCACCCCCAGAATTCACTAGCTTTCTACATGTTTCTTTGGTCCAAACTCTCTATCCTATCCTCTTGGTGGTTCCATCTATGTCTTTTAGGATAGGATGCTGTGTGCTCATTTTGTGTGTCTGTTTCTGACTCAGTCTAGATGTCTGAAAGGTGTGAACAAATGACATGTATCTTTTATTTTTAATCTGTAGTTGTCAGCTTAGTGCCTGGCACAAAGTGGTACCTTTCAAATTCAGATGGGCTTCTTCCTTTGATGTGAATGCACCTGATTTCCTTTGAAACAGATTTCTTGAGTTTCATGATGGAACACTTGAAGGAAGAGAGTGACAATATGGTAAGCTGACCACACACACTATACAACAGTTGTGTGTCCTTGTATCATTCCAAGGATAAAGGATCGTATGAAGAGGAGAGAGAAGGGAGAGTACACACACACACACACACACACACACACACACACAGAGAGAGAGAGAGAGAGAGAGAGAGAGAGAGAGAGAGAGAGAGAGAGAGAGAG